GAGGGTCCCACATGGCATGCAGACCTCTCCTGCTGCACCCGCTGCTCCCCTCAGCAGTGTACTTCTGTCCTTCTGCCTGTTCTGCTCCCTGCTCTGGCTCTGGTGAATCCTCTCACCCTCCCGCACTTCTGACTGTACCCAGTGCTTGTATAAATAAATAAATAAACAAATAAATCTTAAAAAAAAAAAAAAAGAAGTCCTTCTGGATTGGGAGGTGGGATGAGAGGGTAGGATAGCTAGACATGTGCATTTTAACTATAGAGCACGGTACCCTCCTAGTAAGTACCTGTCAGAAGCAAAAACATGGAAGAAAGTGCTTCCCCTTCTCATTGACCACTCCATTCCCTGCGTCCCAAAGGCAGTGTCTTCTAGGGGGTCAGTCCGGGTAGACACAGAACCCATGGTCACCCCAGTTAGAAATCAGTACAGTTACATTCAGCTTACTAACCCCAACTTGATTGGAATGCTAAGCACATATTATTTAGAGGGGATAAAACTGTTTTCTTTACTGGTTAACTATCCTGTCACACTCCAGGAAAGTTTAGAATTGAATGTAGAGATAGAGTAAATCAAACTCATTATATTAATGTTCCTGGCCTAAGTTTTGCAATAATCATTGTATACTTGATCTTTAAAAGGAACTATAACACGGGCCTCCCGGTGGCACAGTGGTTGAGCGCTGGGTTGCGAAGCTGCCTGCAGCCTCTGCAGCGCCAGTTCAATCCCCAGCTGCTCCCCGGCCACCAGAGGAGGGTCCCACATGGCGCGCAGACCTCTCCTGCCGCCCGCTGCTCCCCTCAGCAGTGTACTTCGGTCCTTCTGCCTGCTCTGCTCCCTGCTCTGGTTCTGGTGAATTCTCTCACATTCCTGCGCTTCTGGCTGTACCCAGTGCTTGTATAAATAAAATAAATAAATAAATAAATAAATAAATAAATAAAGGAACTATAACACTGAGGGGCCTCCCTGGTGGTGTAAGGGTTAAAGTCTCAGGGCTATCTAGTTATAGCCAGCCACTGCAGCATGAATTCAATGTCCAGTCAGGGAGCTGACTCACATGGCACAGCAGACCTCTCCTGTCTGCCCGCTGCTCCCCTCAGCAGTGTATTTCAGTAGATCTGCCTGTTCTGCTCCCCACTGTCTCTAATGAATCCTCTCACCATGCCCATACCCCAGTTCTTGTATGCACAAATAAATAAATCTAAAAAAAAAAAGGTAACTATAACACTGAAAAGATTTTGACATGTTGAGTATATGACAGAAAAGCAATTCCAATTTAAAATACAAACATTAGGGGCCTCCCTGGTGGCGCAAGGGGTTAAGACGCAACCTATGAAGCTATTTGTAGCCACTGCAGCATGAGTTCGATCCCGCAGCCAGGGAGCAACCCATATGGCACAGCAGACCTCTCCTGACTCGCCCACTGCTCCCCTCAGCAGTGTATTTCTGTCTATCTGCCTGTTCTGTTCTCCACTCTGTCTCTGGTGAATCCTCTCACCCCCCCAACACCTCTGGCCTGTACCCCAGTTCTTGATTCCATAAATAAATAAATCTTTAGGAAAAAATAAATAAAATAAAAATGTTAAAATACATAGTTAGGTAATTGATAAAATATATGTCAGTAATTGTTATTAGACTTGTTATTTTACATTGAGAGGTTAGCAATGACAGAAAACACTGGCTACATATTAGAATCACCTGGGGTGTTGTGAAAACTACTGATAAGGGTGTGTGCATATTCTAATTTTATGTCAGAGATGGAGTCTATTTTTTGTAAGCTCCCTCTACTGAGAACCAGTGACATAAAAGAATTTCATTTAAGTCTATTAAAAGTATTGAGCTGAAAAAAAAAAAAAAGTATTGAGCTGATTACAAGAACTTGAAATTTATTATGTTTGTTAAGTTTAATTTATTGGATTTTTCTAGCAACTGCTTAAATATTTGGGGGAAAATGTTTGTTAGGTTATGTATCTGAAGTACTTAAAAAAGAAAATCAAACATATTAAGTTTATAAATGGAGTTAAATGTTTAAGGGAAGGTAATAAGCTGTAAATAGCACTGAATATTTAAAGAAATTAAGTTTGTTCAACTTGAGTGTAAACATTAATCAAAGAAAAAGCTGAGGCCATTTTTCTAGATTTATGTAGAGAATAACAACTGCTAAACTGAAGTCAAGGACTTAAAGAAATTACGTTTTAAAATTGTTACTCCAAAGATGGAGCTTCCATATGAACCAGCAATTCCACTGCTAGGTATTTACCCAAAGGACACAGAAACATTAATTCAAAAGGGCACCTGCACCCTTATGTTTATAGCAGCACTGTTTACAATAGCTAAGCTATGGAAACAACCCAAATGCCCCAAAATAGGGCCTCCCCGGTGGCGCAGCGGTTGAGTGCTGGGTTGCGAAGCTGCCCGCAGCCTCTGCGGCGCCGGTTCGATCCCCGGCTGCTCCCTGGCCACCGGAGGAGGGTCCCACATGGCGCGCAGACCTCTCCTGCCGCCCGCTGCTCCCCTCAGCAGTGTACTTTGGTCCTTCTGCCTGCTCTGCTCTCCGCTCTGGCTCTGGTGAATTCTCTCACCCTCCCGAGCTTCTGACTGTACCCAGTGCATGTATAAACAGAAAGAAAGAAAGAAAGAAAGAAAGAAAGAAAGAAAGAAAGAAAGAAAGAAAGAAAGAAAGAAAGAAAGAAAGAAAGAAAAAACATGCCTCTATATAAAAAAAAAATAAATAAATAAACAAATGCCCCAAAATAAATGACTGGATCAAGAAGATGTGGTACATATACACAATGGAATATTACTCAGCAATCAAAAAAGATAAATTCATGCCACTTGCAGTAGCATGGATGGAGCTGGAAGGGATCATGCTCAGCGAAATAAGCCAGAAAGAAAGAGAAAAATACCAGATGGTCTCACTCATAGCAGGAACCTAGAAAACCTAAAAAAGGGGTCAGGAAAAAGACTAATTATAATAAAGTAAAAATCAAAATCAACAAGCAACTATAAACCAGAGACACACTACAGGGGGAGAAGGGAGAAGGATCAAAACAGGTGGGTGGGGACCTCCCTGATGGCGCAGGTGGTTGAGCACAGCGCTGTGAAGCTGTCCGCAGCCTCTGCAGTGCTGGTTCGATCCCCGCCAACCTTGGAGCAACCCATGCGGCAAGCAGACATCTCCTGTCTTGCCCACTGGTCCCCTCACCAGTGTATTTCGTTGGTCTGCCTGTTCTGTTCCCCACTCTGTCTCTGGTGAATCCTCTCACCCTCCCGCGCATCTGGCCTGCAGCACAGTTCTTGTATAAATAAGGTAACTCTTAAAAAAAAAAAAAAAAACAGAGGGGTGGGAATTGTGGGGACTATAACCAGGATGAAAATGAATACATTGTGCAAAAATGAAAACTGATCTAAAAAATATATAAAATTAAATTTAAAGAATGAAATTGTTAGTCCAAAATGAGCATTAAAAAGACAAAAAATAGGGCCTCCCCGGTGGCGCAGCGGTTGAGCGCTGGGTTGCGAAGGGGCCCGCAGCCTCTGCAGCGCCGGTTCGATCCCGACTGCTCCCCGGCCACCGGAGGAGGGTCCCACATGGCGCGCAGACCTCTCCTGCCGCCCGCTGCTCCCCTCAGCAGTGTACTTCGGTCCTTCTGCCTGTTCTGCTCCCCGCTCTGGCTCTGGTGAATTCTCTCACCCTCCCGTGCTTCTGACTGTACCCAGTGCATGTATAAACAAAAAAACAAACAAACAAATAAATAAATAAAACATGCCTCTATTAAAAAAAAAAAAAAAGACAAAAAATAAAAACAAGCACACCTTAACTCCCTGTGGTCTTCCTTACCCATCCCACCTCTGAACTTCCCATCAGCCAAATTTGTTGTCAATTATTGGCAAGACAGAGGTATTCCTTCCCAAGAGCCTCATAGCTTCCTGCCCCACTGGGCTGTAGGACGCTTTGCAAACAGTAAATAACAGCAGTAATAATAACTCATCATGGGTGTACAGCAGTTCACATTCTTCCTGCCATTCTCCTAATCAGGCATTATTGTTGCTTGTGAGTCAGAGGCCCATCCAGGCCTGGAATCCAGTCCCTAGTTTTCAATGCTACCTTTATATCAATTTTTCTTATTTGGCTCAGACATCTCTAAACTCCAGATCCAAATCCCTATTTGTCTAAGAAGCAGCTCAAACTTGTTGATTTTAAGTTCTTGAGGTCAAAACTTGAATCCTCTTTTCCTACGACCTACATGCCACTGTCAGGCTGTTCTGTCTGTCCAACCTCCCAAGATACACCCCAAATCTGATCACTATTCTAATCCATGCCTTAATCAAAATTACCATCCCCCCTCAACTTATCCACAATAACTTCCCTTCAGTTTATTCTCCAGAGAAGTCTGAATGATGACATTAGAACATAAATTAGATTAAGTCACATCCCTGCTTAAAACCGTTCAGAGGCTTCCTAATACAATTAGAAAAACAAACAAAAAAGCTAGACTCCTTACTATGGGTCATAAGGCCAGATATGAGCTGAGCAGAGCTCACTTCTTCATAGTCCACTCTACTCTTTTCCCTCAGACGTCCCAGGACTGCAGCAGCCTCATGGCCTTTGCAACATTTTCCTGCTTGACCCACTACTATTCATTCAGTGCTATGGTTGAGTGTCATCCTGGGCACCCTAGCTAATAGCTGAAATAGCACCATCACCCGTCCCTCCATTAACATTACTACTTTGTGGCTACTGCACCTCCCCATCTGGCACACACAGAATGAGCGATCCATGAGAGAGTGACTGGTTCACCGCTGGGTCCCCAGCACACAGTCCAAAGGAGGAGCTCAGAAAACATCTGTTGAATGGCCTGGTGCTCCAAAGCCTTTGTTCTTTCTATCCCCAAGAAGAAATGAGTGTCCTCAGGTCTCTGGGGCCTGGGGCCTCCACTGAGAACCTCGGGGGGAGGGGAGGGGCCAGGGGTGAGGGGAGGGAACCAGAAGCTCGGACCGACCTGCTCCTCCCCTCGAGTCGGGGCTAAGGGGTGCGGTACCCAGGCTTCTACTTTCGCCGAAAGCGCCAACTCTAGGCCAGGATTTAGTACTAAGACCGGCGAGAAAACGAGCGCCCTGGGCGCCCCTCTATTCACTTCCTATCCCGCCACGGGGAAAGCGGACTTAGCAGGAAAAGCCCAAATACTCGGTGAGGGGGAAAGAGACAAGGACTGCCCCTCGACATTCCGCAGAAAGTACCTGGTTTCAAGGGACCAGCCGGCTGCGAGCTCCTCCTCCTGCGCCCTCGCGTCACGCGCTGCTTGCTGGGATTGGTAGTTCTTTCCTTGGTGTCGGGCCACCCTTCCCAGAAGCCATTGGAAATAAAGCGGAGACCGCGCGAGGTGGGGAGGTGGTGAAAGAAGCGCAAGGGCTTCTGGGTTTTGTAGTTCAAAAGAGTCCACCAGCGATAAACGACGGAGGGGAAAGAAACAGGTAATAAATCTTAACAAACTATTTGAGCTGCGCTGATCTGAGTCATGTGAGATTTTTCACCGATGTTAGACCATTATTGTTTTCGTGATTCAAAACCAAGAACTCTGGGATTCAGTGGAACTACAAATCCCACAAAGTACCGCACCTCGAGGACATTTGTAGAGCAAGGTCGACCACTACGCAGGCGCAGAGGTTCGAATTCGGCAGTGGGCAAATATGGCGGGCCCCACGGTTACTGCGAGGCTGTATTCCCTGCTGTTCCGCAGGACCTCCACCTTCGCCCTCACCATCGCTGTGGGTGCCCTGTTCTTCGAGCGCGCCTTCGACCAAGGCGCAGACGCGATCTACGAAAACATCAACCAGGGGGTGAGGGCCTGGGCCATTCCTGACCTTGGGCTCGGCTGAGGGGTGACGGGGAGTGGAGGCGCGGCGGGACTCAGTCTTCCTTTATGAGAAACCTGTTAAATTTTGGGTGTCTCTACACTGCCGTGGAGTGAACCCTAAAACGTTAAATGAAATCATAACAGTCTACTTTGCAGGGGTTGTAAGTATTGCTATCTCCCTCCCTAGGTACCCACTTGTCCATTTGCAGAAGTGAAAATTGAAGCCTAGTTAGCGCTAAGGCCTTGCTGGCCACACTAGCAGTGAGGGCTGGAACCAGGAACAAATACTACGGAGAATATTTGAGAGGGCGACGGTCGTGAAAGGACATCTTAAACACTGTGGCTGGCCTTTTCAGACAGCTCTTTCACTTCCCAAGGCTTCCAACGCAAGAGTGGGGCCTATGAAATCAGAGCTCCTAGATGGGAATACTGAGCCTTGTCACTTAATAACTGTGGCATTAAGTTTGGGCAAATTTCTTAATTTCGCTGAGCTTTTTTATCTGTGAAATAGTTAATAGTAACTACCTCAGGGAATTATTGTGAGGATTATATGATTACAGGCAAGGTGCCTCAGAGCCTAGGTGGTACCTCTCAATAACATTACATTTTTGGGGAGAAAGTGGAGGCATAAGATAGGGAATAATGACACCTCTTAGACTCATTATGTGCTTGGTACTGTGCATGCTCTGTAGCTTTAAATTGTGACTTGTACTGGGGAAGATCTTGTTCAATAGTCCTGTTCCACTGTTGACTTACGCTTTTATTGCAAGACTCTGACTGTACAGACTCAGTAGGCTATGTATGCTACTGCTGTTACTGCCTGTGGCCAGGGCAACTTTCTGCCCTTATGAAGGTACTGCCACTGTTCCCTCTCTCCTACAAGCTGGCTATATTACAAGCTTTTGACCATATTCCTATTGTATGGGAAAGGTATCTGAGTATGCTGTCTTAAGCCACCTACTGTGCTTTTTGGAACAAGAATCCAGGTAGTTCTTTCCCCAAGAATCATGTAGCCGAGGGAATCAAAAATGACTCAGTGTGAAGTATTTGAGGACTATGCACTTAGGACCTCTTGAGTAATACTGCAGTGTTGAGGAATTGAGACAACTTCTAGGCTCTGTTCCTTAATCGTTTTGTGCTTTGGAGCAGTTCCCACAATCTCAATTTTGTATAAAACTAAGATCATCCCACTTCACAGGGTGGTGAGAGCATCAAAGCATTTTATAAATGTTAGTAATATCCGTTTTAAGTCTAGTGTTGCTTCTGCTTTACCCACCACAGCAGTCAGGATTTGGTACGTGTTTTTCTCAAGCTTGTTTTAGAGACCAGGGCAGCAGGAGTAGTTGTAAAATGTAAGAGGTGAGGGCCTCCCTGGAGGCGCAAGTGGTTAGGCACCACACTATGAAGCAATCCGTGGCCTCTGCAGTGCGAGTTCAATCCCCGGCTGGCCAGAGAGAAACCCACATGGCAAAGCAGACCTCTCCTGTCTCACCCGCTGCTCCCCTCAGCACTGTATTTCAGTCAGTCCGCCTATTCTGTTCCCCGCTCTGTCTCTGGTGAATCCGCTCACCCCCTGCATCTCTGGCCTTTACCCCAGCTCTTGTATGCATAAATAAATAAATATTTAAAAAAAAAAAATGTAAGAGATGAAACTGAAAGTTTGTTGCTCTTGTCTTTAAAATGCAGAAGCTGTGGAAACACATCAAGCACAAGTATGAGAACCAGGAATAGTTCCTCGGAAGTCTCCATGCAGGCCAGAAGGACCAGGTCCATTCATCCACTGTTGCCCAGAACCAGGGCCTCAGCTTGAAGATGATGGTTAAGTTATTCCTCATGGCCCATCTTTAACCATTTGCAAGAACTGGCTTCACCTGACAGACTCTTTAACTTCTGCTGTGTTTGAAGTATGTTTAGTTAGAGTCATCAGCAAATAAATGTAAATTGTCCTTAGACCTGCTTCTGCATTGGGTGCTTTGTTGACTGTATGTGACCTTCATTTGTCAGTTATTTAAGACTACTTCAGAGTCCTCTTCAAATACCTACAGGGAAGAGTTTGTTATTTCTCAAATTCTCCCAAAGAATTTGGTTTTTAAAACATGAGCTAGAGTTAGAGATGTTCCTTTATCTGGCTTCTAACTTGCAATTGCATTCCTAAATCACACAGAGAGCTAACTGGCTAGACCTTGTGAAAGCACTGTTGCCTCAGCCTGGGAAAAACCTTGGCCTGGGAGGTCTTGGTCTACTCCCTGTCCCAGAGTCTTGTCTTTGTTCATCCTTTAACTTGCTGAGTGTCTTAGGGTAAGCTGCCACCCAGCTCTAGGCCACAGCCCATCTTCTGATGTTGATAAAGTTGAACCGGAGTGCTGAGTTTAGTTCTTAGTGGGTTTGAATCCTCACACCAGTTCTAGTTGCATGAACCAAGGGTGGGTCATTTGACCTTGCTGAGCTTCAGTTTCAGCTTCAGTTTCCTGGTCTATATGATGGGAGTAATAGTATCCTCTGTATGGGGTTTTTGTGACTATTAAGGAAGTTATTAAACGCAGTTAATATAATTACAGATCCTGACACATGGAGGTAATTGCTGGCAGAGATATGGGGGGAACCCAGAGAACCAGAAGGTTATACCAGAAACCTCTGGAGGGGTTCAACGATCATATTCTGGTCACTCAACAAATGTTTGGGTGGTCATTGAGGCACTGCTATGCCCTGGGCACCTGGTGGTAAACATGGGGCTTGAATTCCTACAGGAGATACTGTAAATATCATTTTATAAAATAGATACAGAGGGCCTCCCCTGATGGCGCAGGCGGTTGAGCACCGCCCTGTGAAGCTGTCCACAGCCACTGCAGCGCCGGTTGGATCCTGGCCAGCGGGTGAGGGTCCCACATGGTAGGGCAGACCTGTCCTGTCTTGCCCACTGCTCCCCTCAGCAGTGTATTTTGTCAGTCTGCCTGTTCTATTCCTCACTCTGTCTCTGGTGAGTCCTCTCCCATGCAACTGGTCTGTACCCCGGTTCTTGTATAAAAAATAAATAAATCTTTAAAAAAAGCATGATAATAAGCCCACTTTCCTATTGTATGGGGTTGAATAGTGTCTCCCCTAAATTCATATCCACAAGACCTCAAAACACGACCTTATTTAGAAATAGGGTCTTTGCTGTTGTAACTAGTTAAATTAAGATGAGGTCATCCAGTGACTGCTGTCCATTTAAGAAGGTCATGTGAGGACACATGGGGAAGAAAGCTGTGTGAATACAGAACCAGAGGTTGGAATTATGCTATTGAAGGCCCAGGAACGGCAGATTGTCAGCAACCACCAGAAATTAGGAGAGCAGCAAGGAAGATTCTTCCCTAAGGATTAAGTGTGGTCCTGCTGAAACTTGGTGTTAGCGCTCTAACCTCCAGAACTTTGAATTGATTTCTGTTGTTTCAGCATTCGGTTTGTGATAATCTGCTAAAGCAGCCGTAGGAAATGAATATACTTACCAACTCTGCCAAGCTAAAGAATATTTCCTGACTTTTTTGAACAAATGGTGCTCTGGTGCTATTGGCAAGAGTGTCAAGTGGTACCATTTTCCTGGGGTGTGTTTTGTACATATGTGTTAAGATAGTGTGCACATCTTCTACTCAATAAATCCCACTTCTGGAAAATTTCCTAAAGACATGCGCATGCCCACAAATGTTCACCGTGGTGTTTATAATATGAGGGAAGATGAAAGCAAGCAAAATATGCAAAATAGGAATTACTATTGGTGTGAACTATGCAGTCATTTAAAACCAGTTTTAACGAGGAGAAAATATCCAAAAAATAAAAAGACCCGACAAATATGGCAAAGTACCAACCTTGCTACTACATGAAGCTGTCTTCCCAATTAATACAAAAAAAGATGAAAAAGGTGAATAACTCAATAAAAGCGGTGACCAATGACAAGACATACAACAGCCACAAACTTGAAAATGTGCCCATTTTCACTAATACAAGATGAAATGCATGTTTTTGCCCATCATATCAACAAGATGGAAAAGATGAGCAGCACCAGTTTTTTGGTGAAGGAGCAGATACTGCTTGTGAGGCCTGGAACAATAGTTTTGGGGGGGGAAGTTCTGTCAAATGTACATTCCCCTTGACACTGAAATTCCACTTCAAGGAAATTAGCCCCAGGATCACCTGTATACACCTACATACCCAAAAGGTCATAGGGGCATTGTTTGGAATTTAAAGAAGAAAGGGAAAAAATGTCCTTCATTGGGGAGTGGTGAACTAGATCCGTTCATACTATGGAAACAATTCACACACAGAAACCTCCATAGACACTGAAAGACTGAGGTGTCTGTGTAGTGGTAAAGA